TACTAAAGAGCCACTCCTGTGATTTGGAAGAGATCTGGGATGACTCCTGAACAGTCCAACTAACCAGAACATTTTCTCTGTGGCTTGAACTGCTGAGCTACAGGATCTGGAAGCATCACAGGCATGTCACAGAAGTGGTTTGGCTTGAGAATTACCCTAAATAGCCTTATTATCACCACCAAATGATAGAGTATTGCAACTGGAATGCAAAGCAAACAGTGGAATGACCGATGGGGCTGTTTTTCTGAGGTCATCTGTTTGAACTCAGTATTTTTTCCCCCCCAGTTTTCTCATGTGAAATCCCAGTAACACAAAGTCCCAGATCAGAAGAGATCAGCAATATATATGAGACATCAGCAAAAGCAGCAATGTGTTCTTTAACTAAAGTTCTCATTCACTTTCACTTTTCTAAGGCAAAGAGAAACACCCTCAAGGTTATGCTCACACACAAACGTTTAGCTGAAATCACTGCTGATTTCACAAAGCAAGAGTTCAGCCTGAAAAAACAATTATGTGTCATAACACCATCATCACACTGGACCTTCAGAAGCTGCACCAGCCTTTTAGATACACAGTGTCATTTCAACTCAGCTCTCCTTAAAAAGTGCAAACAAAAGATGATTATTCGGAAGAGAGAAGAGGCTCATGCTTGTATAGCTGAAGGCAAAGAGTAATTGTAACTGCAGCTCACTAAAGGCACCTCTGAATAAACCTCCAAACAGGTTCTGTGGCTCAAAGTGTCACATCAGAGGCTCCAGAGCCCCGGGACTCTGGTGTTTTCCAGGAAGCTTTGGTGAGGCAGGAGGGTGATTTAAATCAGCTGCAGAGCTTCTGTCCGAAGGATTAAAGCTGTCCCTCTGTAGAAACAGAGCAAAAGGCTGCATAAGTCCCTACTTACTGGAAGAAAATGAGGTTGGTGCCTTAACAGGAGCAGTTACAATATAAGGCAGAGCCAAGGCACTGAGCAGAGATTCTTGCAGATTAAATTCAACTCTGGAAGACAGGATGTTTGTCTAAAACCTTGGCAGTGAGAGATGGTTGTTCTTGGCACCAACCACGGTCACTGTGCTATACAGTTACCCCTAAAGAATGCAAGCGATTGCTCTGGAACTGAGACCAGAAAAAATGAACGCAGAAATTAATGTAGACCAGTTATGAACTAGATGGGAATATAAACATTAACCCTTTCCTGGACATGGATACTACTTGTGTGCCCAGTTCCCTCGACATCACAGCAACTGGAGTGGCCACTGCATTCAGGGCAAGCTGCTCTGTGGGTTTGAACAACTCATCTCCCTTCCTGCAATGTAATTTTGCCATTTGCAAAAGAGGAGGGACTCATCTGTACTGCTCTAAGAAGTAAGAAATGGTCTCCAAGAGCAGATTATTCTTATTAATGCTTGAACTCCACCCTGGTGATGGTGGAATGGGTATGATGGGGGAAGTTGTTCTAATGGGATGCAGTGAAGCACCTGGGCCATGCACTGGTGATGTCTGAAACACTTTCCTTGGGAAATCTCTTAAGCAGGAGTTAACCCCAGTTAGGCCAAGCTGAGGTAACTATTGCAGACAGAATATAAAGGATTTGTGGGTTTTTTTTAAATACTGTAAGTAAGTACTTCCAGCATTTGGTGAACTGGCACATAAATACCTTTTCTGTTTTGGAAGCAAGGCTGATAAACTTATCATTTATTATTATTATTTATATTTATTTATATATATATATTTATTACTATTATATCCTTCATCCATGGAATGCACTTACTGGCAAACTGGGAAATGTGCAACACAGCACAAACACATCTGTAATACACCCACTGCCCCAGAGGCTGGCCACGCTTTCCAAGGCTTTCTCAGGTCAACAGCTCTGTGACTTATGTTCAGTTAAATACCTTAATCAATAACTTGGAATATACAGCGCAATTTGAATGCAAAGATCATCAGCTGCAGTGCTGGAAGAAACTTCAGTATTAACCTTTTCAGTTGCACCTCCCAAAATACAACCAGCCCCAAGGAGCACTGATTGTGCTCATGATCTAAACATATTTAACTTGAGGAGGTTTCTAGATTATATATTCCTTCCTTCATTAGGAATTAAGCGATGAAGAGGCAGAAAATCCAAGGGGAAGGGAGAGATGGAACGAGAGTCTAGAATTCAAGTTTTGTTTCAAAACTTTTCTAACTTCGAGGCTTCTGATGCATGAAAGTTTAGAGAACTGATAAAGTGTTCAAGCTGTGTTCTGAAGAGCCGTGGAAATGACACGGGACTATTTGTACACAAACAGCTTTGAGGCATTTTGTTTTTAATTTGCATACAATTCTTAAAGTGAATTCCACATGAAGAAGGGTGAGATACAACAGAGCTCATTTACCATTTCACAAGTTAACAGAACAAAGTAAATATCTGTCCTTCTGATTAATTAGCATCGACCCCTCACTCCAACTTGTCACTTCCTGCTGCAAGTCCCCCATGCCAAAGAAACGCATGGACCGGTCCCAAACTCCCCAGACATTCACACGTGGACTTCAGTGACACTGCAAATCATAACAGTGAGAAAAAAATCCAAATAGAAAGCCTTTAGGTGACCTTATATTCTCTTCATGGTTCACAAACCAAGACCCGAAATTCTGAGTACAAAAATACTTCAGTTGTCCAGCTCAGCCATTCATCTGACTGCGGTTCCTCCGTGGAGCCCCAGCCCAGGGGGGAATACTTTCTGTCAGATAAGAGGGGGCATTAAATCAGAAACAGGGAAGTCTCAGAGGAACTGTGCTAAAATGGACTTCCCCAACAATTGTCTCTGAACGTGCTCTTTCCTTCCACATACTGAGACAGTTTTCTAGCTCTATCACCTCCATTCATAGTTGCGTTCCACCAGGTTTTTTTGGCTTGTATCAAACTGGCAAACACCATCCTGACCAAAAGATATGACAACAGTATTACAGCTACAATAAAACAGTGGCCTGGTGCTCAAGGCAGCATCATCTTCCTTCATGCTTCAAGGAGAGGTTAAACACAGGGTGAAAGGGAAGCTGTAACAAACCTGTCTCGCAGACCTTTCCAAAAAAAAAAGAGATGGGAATGTGAGGCCATCCAGGGAAAAAAGGAGAAAGACATAAGCTGCAAAGAGCTGAACCTACCAACAGCAGCAGAAAATGCCCACCACTAAAGCTGTCTTTATTTAGGTCTTACAGCAATAAACACCAGTTTCGCCTTCTGCCTGGAACTTTCCAGGAAGCCTTTTCCTTGGTGTGGGAGTTGAGATTCTGTGACACTGTTCACAGTGAGATGAATGAAAACCAACCCAGTTGATTGTGCTGAAGTGGAAAAAAAAAAGTCACAGGACTGGGAATTGCACATGGATAGTTGAGGGTTTGATGAGCACACAACCCACACGTCACAGCACAGCCGGCACTGCCAGGGATTCCAGTTGGCAAAGGCCAATTTTGTGTTCCCCTCTCATGATTGTGGATTCTCCAGCAACTCCACTGTGTCTGAAATACATCAGTATCAGAGAAGAGACTCTAACAATAAAAAACTTTGTACACTTGAATATTTATTAATTCTCTAGTAGTTTTTTGCTATATATTTAACACTAGCGTGACAAAATTCCTGATAACTCTATCTCATGCAGGTAACTGAAATGAGGAGTTAGCACTATCTAAACTGATAAATCTACCACTAGAGGGTTACCTGGAGCCTACAGGACAAGTGACAGCCAGGCAGGTGTGTCCCTGCCAAACAGGCTCAGCTGAGCGTTCCCAGCAGGGATCTCAAGGACAGCACAGCCCTCAGAAGGGCTGGAGGGGCAACATCCTTTGGCCCAAACAGACTTGCCGTTGTGGTTTGGAAGGGCTCAGGTGGAGCTGGAGACGTGTAGGCAATTGTCGGTGGTGTTTCTGTAGTCAGTCAAACAGTTTAGCTTTTCTAGTTGAAGTTGCTGTGATTTGTGTTCTCTCTTGGACAGAGTAGGATGGGTTACTCTACCCAAATTGCTATTGTTTAGGTCACAACTGAGATGTTGAGAGCAATACTGTACCTTTCTGCAGCTGAAGACAAAGATTGCTGAGAGATTGCTGCTGTTCCTTCTCTGCAATTCCTTGGTGGATACATTTTCATCAATAGCAACTATGAAAACAAACTCCCTAGAGTCCAAATTCTTAAAAAATATATTACAGGAAAAGTCTACTCGTCATTCACTTATTGTTTTCTCCTACAATTCCCACAGGTTTCAAAGCATAATCATTACAAATGTAAATTATTAGAATAAGAAGAATTGTGATAGTCTTCTGCTGTACTGGGCATTTCCCTTTTTTAACTGGCATACATTCTGACAGAAACACCACAGCACGAACCAGAGCATTGCAATTAAAAAAAAACAAAATGCAAACCATTCAGTCCCATGTTAGAGCACGTGTATGTGTGTATAATACTGCAAAAGTAGTCACACATCAGAGGTATATCATCGACAACAGCATTTTCTTCCATGAAGCTGCTATTACTGAGGCAGTGACAAGGTTTCCGTTTCTTTGTTTTCTGAGCTCTTTACAGAATGGCTATTGCCACATCTTGTAAACCTAAATACTGTCCAAGCAGAGGCTTGTTGGTATCAGGTGAGGAGTTAACACTACTAGTGCAAACAGGCGCAGAGACCATTGCTCCAGTTTTGGAACACTGACCCAGGACAGGCATCTTCTTCCAAGCGTGTTCTCCACTCGGCCACACCTCCCTCTGCACCCTGGCCTTCTTTTCACAGGGGGGGCTGGGGGAGCACCCCCAGCTCACTGGAGATCGAGCACAGGAAAGATTTCTTGACTGTTTTCCCACTAACTCCGAGTCCAGGAGCGATCAACACCTCAAGCATCAGGCAAGTGACAATAATACTGACTTAGTATCTTTAGTAAAAAGCGAGACATTCTCTCCTGAGATAGAAGTCAAGGAAGGAACAGGAATGATGAACCTAACACTGTACCATTATTTGATCATCGTGCACCTCAGCTGAGCAGATGGGAAAGGACAAGTGGTTACTGCCCTCTGCTCATCCAAAGCTGTGACAGGCAGTTGTTCAGCTAAGTGCTTGGCATACCAGTATGCTGGCAGAGCAGTTCTCAGTGTGCTGTCCCCCCTTTAGCTTATTTCTTTAAAAGGAAAAAAAAAACCAACAAAAAAAAAGGGGAAAAAAAAAAAGACAAAACAAAAAAGGAAGAAAATCTCAGCAGGTTAACCCTCATCTTCCCTCAGCTCTGTGGGCAGGAATTTGTATTGCTGTTGGCGGATCTGGGCCAGCTTTTTCCTTGCTTCTTCCAGCTCTCTCTCCTTCTTCAGCATTTCTTCCTGGGCTGCAATGATCTGGAAAACAGAGGCAGGAATCATGACAGCAAGGATTACTGTCTGTAAGATCAGATTCCTTCATGACAGCAGCCACAGGAAGCTCATGAGCATCCTCCAGATATCAGCACCATCAGGAATTGCTCAAGTTTTTCCAGGTAATCTACCACCAGTTTTCCCATGGATCCATGCTGGATTTTATAGCTCTGTGCTCTCCCTCATTGCTCAGGGGGAAGGTTTAGCACACGCAGAATAAGCACCGTGACAATGTTTGAGTGGCAGTAAAACCGAACGCTCATCGCTGGGGGCATCCACAGGATTTTCCTGCCTCTCAGAATGCCAAAGGAAAAGTGACAGTAGTACAGATACGCAGAAATAACACAAGTCCAGTATCTTTTAAGCAGCAACTGCAGCACATGGTGTACCCCAGGAAGCTGGCACAACCTCCAAGCCCTGAAATCTATTTTTAAATATTGTTATTATTTCCCAATAATTATTACACTCACAGTAAGCAAAGTCATCGGTTTTCATCTCTAAACTGTTGTTCCATTAAAACATTTAAAGTACCTGACAGAAGCCTGAAAAGGGCCATTTACTTAATCAGAAAAAGAAGTAGAATACACTGGGCAGTGGTAGCTGCTGTTGCAGCAAATGTTCCATGGAAAATTGGAGACACCACCCAGCAAATCCCTGCTGTTGTCAGTGGTCACCTCACACTGAGCATCCAGTTATTTCTCAGATTTCTGAGCAGCTCTGAGCAGCCTGCAGTGCAGCAGATGGGCACTGTAACACTGCTCACTCCTGGGCTGGTTCTCCCTGCTCCAGTCTCTGTACCCACCTGAGCGATGCCACCCACGAACTTGGTTTTGACCACGACATCGTCGTCCTCTGCTTTCCCAAAAGCTGCTTTCTGGGCTGCCCTCACAAGATTGTCTGACGCACGTTTGACAGCATTGCCTGCAGCCTTGGAACGAGACAAAGGACATCTGGTAAGAGTGGAAATGCACAACCAACAGGGATTCATCTGAGCATCAGAATTAAAGCATCTCTGCTTGACTGAACTGGAAAGACGGGGTTTGTTTTCCCCAGCGAAAAGCAAATTAATCTTGGAAAATGCATGGTACAGAAAGGGACACAAAGTCTTTATTTAAGAAGCTGGAGAAGTCACAAATGAGATTTTCTTATCCCCCTACAGCTTGAAATAAAACAGTGGATGAAGTCACAAGTCACGTCATGCACAACACTGATCAGCCTTTTTTTTTTTTTTTTTTTTCTGAGCAAGAACAGAAACTGAAAACTAGTGTATAAACACATTTTATAAGACAATAAAGTTTTTCAATTAATGCACTCTCCTCAGGGCAAGTCAGCAACTTACACAGCCCATGCTTATCTTAAACTTATAACTTGAAGAGTTTCAGATTTCTAGAGAGAAGCAGTGAAACATTTGGAACACATCTCCACATGCTGCAGACACAGCACTAGGAGGGGAACACACGGACCAGCTCTGAACCTTCCCAGCCCTGTCCCACATTTCCAGCTCCATCTCCCTCCCAGCTCTTCCCCACTGCCGTGACCCAAGGGCAAATCATTGGAAATCTGCTCTGGAGCTCTCCCAGTCTCTAATACTTAATTTTCTTCCTGTTTCTATTGCTTGTTCTGCATTTGGAACTCCTTCAGACCCATCCTGACATCTGGATATTAAAGTGTAGGTGGTTTCACAGACAGAACTATCCTCTAGTTACTGAAGCCTTCCCCACAGCCCTTGGACAACATCAATCTATATAAATCCACTAGAAAGCACTGAAACAATCTCATCCCCAGTGACAACATTAACATGCCACTGGTTTCTATAAATAAATGGATTTTCCACACATTCATACAATTATTTTGTCCCCCTAAATATTTAAGCCATTTTTCTACTTAAAAAAAAAATAAATGATGACACCAGTTCCTCTTGCTTGGACAGATACTTAATCTAGCAATATTGCACCCAAACCAGGGCTTGGCACAGGGCAGTCACCATTTACATCTGTCAACATCTTTTAAAAAATGGAGACTAAAGCAGGCAGTGAAACGAGCTGTAGCTACTGCTGAATAACAGCAAATGCACAGCCACTTCATCCAGGATGAATAAAACATCCCAGAACCCTGCAAGGAGGGAAAACAGAACCAAAACCTGAAAGTTCAAGTCACTGTTCCTCAAATCAGGGGGTTGTTCCTGCAGCATTCACACAGCACTGCTCTGGGTTTCCAGGAATGAGAACACAAACCTGCAGCCTCCTCATGGCCTCGGAGTCGTGATCAGCCTTCACCTTGCAGGCCACCAGCAGCTGTGCCGTGGAAGCTGCCACTTGCTTGGCAGAGGAGATGAGCTTCTCCTCGCTGGCGTGGCCCTGCACCGAGGCGTTGGCCGCCTCGCACAGGTTGCTGGTTGCAGCTGCCACCATCCGGGCCTGCAGGACAGCAGAAACCAAGCCAGTCACGGGGTGTTCCCATCATTGCCCCAGAGGAGGTGCCGGTTTTCCCAAGAGAAGCAGTTACTCACAGCAGAAATGAGTCCCTGAGACCACTGTCCATCGTCAGCTGCGTTGGCAGGGATTGCTCCAACCTGAAAAGACAGTTCACAGGTGGCTCACAGGGAAACAGAAACAGTGCCTTGTCTCTGATTTAGGC